ACCAGTACACCTCCAGTTTTGTGCATGTGAGCATGGGTAGCCAAAATGTAAACACCCTAACCACAGGGCTTTTGCCTTGCTTGCCCACCATTATTGCTCCAGCACAGAGTAGGTAGACACATAGTAGGAACTCAATAAATGTCTGTTGGATGAAGGCATGGATGAACCAACAAAATACCCAAGATGAGGCAAAGGACATGTTGAATAAGTTAGGAGCTGAGATGGTGCCTAGAAGAAAAATTATCTATAATTCTAAGTAAAAGCCACCCCCAATGGTCTTTAAATATAGATATGGAGGCTCCACAGACAGGCTCAGGTCCTGCCCTGAGCGAGTCTGGCTGCTGGACTTGTGGAAACATCCCTCTGCACAGTCAGTATTCCCCAGTTGACAGGGAGCAGGTTTGCAGACCCCACTAAGTATGAAATTCCAGGAGAAACTTTTTAGAATCTGCTTTTGTGACAATGAGCCCAGAAAAGCCCTTTCAATTTGGGTGGGTGGGGGGGGTTCTTCAACCCTTTGGCTTTGCTATCTGGGCCAAAAACTGAGAAAACTCACCGATCTTCTCCTGCTTTTAATCTCTTTCCCCAGGGGAGCAGAGGTGGTGATGTTTGGCTTAGGCACAGAGAGGGATAAATTACATTTAAAAGAAGCTAAAAGCATTCTGGACCCAGTTCCAATGTTTTCCCGCACATCCAAGCAATTCTCTAACACCAGCTGAGTACCCTATAATTCAACTCAATTCTGGCACTATCTACCCGGAGATAGTGTCAGATCTCACAGGTTGAGGGCTCCGTTCCACAAGACTGGCCCCCACTCCCCACTTCAGACACCGGTCCCAAGTCCAGGGTGTCACCAGTGCTTCTGACTGACCTGCTATAGAGCTGAGGTTCCAACGACCTCTCCTTGTGCTCGATTAATTTACTAGAGAAGCTCACAGAACTCAGAGCAACAGTTTATTTATTAGATTACTGGTTTATAAGAGGATATAACTCAGGGACAGGCAGATGGAAGAGATGCAGAGGGTGTACAAGGAAAGGGTGCAGAGCTTCTATGCTGTCTCTAAGTGCACCAGTCCCTCCAAATCTCCATGTGCTCACCAACCTAGAAGCTCCCCAACCCTGTTCTTGTGGGTTTTATGGAGCTTCATTACATATGTGCGATTGATTAAATTGCTGGCCATTGGTGACTGGTTCAACCTCCACTCCATCTCCTCTCCGCTGGAAACCAGGGGGTGGGACTGAGAGTTCCAACCCTCTGTTCATGGTTAGTTCCCCTGGCAACCAGCTGCCATCCTCAGGTGCTTTCCAAAAGTGACCTCATTAAATAAACCCACTGGTGGTGAAAAGTGCTTGTTATGAATAACGAGATACCAATTTCACCTTTATGGCTCTGCAGCAATTTAAGGAACTGAGGACCAGAGACCAAATATTGTGACAAAAGATGCTCCCATTGCTCCTATTCTTTGGGAAATTCCAAGAGTTTTCAGAGCTGTGAGCCAGGAACCATGGATAAAATGAAATATGTATGAGCAATATATTTTGGTCATCTAAATGACCAAATATATATCTCTTATAAATCATAATATTGTGGATATTTCTATGTGTTCTTGATTGCTAAGTAGCCCTGAGTCAAAACAATCAGTTAAAAAAAATTAGAAACCTTAATTATGGATTTGGAAATTCATGTACAGCATAACTGACATGGGTCTGGCCTCTCACCCTACCCTGGATCCTTCCCTTGTTTAGTCCTTGAAAATCCCTGTCCTTGGAGTTAAACCTTGTTTTTTAAGCTTGGAGCCCTGGGAGCATACACCAGCCCTGTTGGATGCTTATGTTACCTCTGATGAGCCTGAGGGCGGAGTTTTCCCTATGAAGGTCTTCTCTCATCCCCATAAACTCCCACGCTGGCCCACCTCCTTCTAGCCAGGGAGTCCCCTATTTTAGGTCCTCTGGCCTTGACCTATTTCCAGCTTCCTCTAGTTCCTCTCTGGACTTCTGCCAATTTCCTTCCACAATTCACAGCCAAGCCTGTAGGAGTTAAAACAATCCGTATTGTTTAAGAAGGCAATGCTTTCCCACAAGAAGATTTACATTAAAGTAAGATTGGGGAATTCCAAGGCTGACCGGATAGATGCGTAGACAGAGATAGGAGACTCAGGAAGCATCTTGGGGATGCAGGGACACTTAAGTTCTGGGGGATAAACTCTTTTTGGAGGGTCAGCTCTGGGGTGGGTGCAGGCACCAGGCAGGTCTTTAGAAAGGCGGTGATCAGTGAATGGGACCTGTTTCAGTCTGAAGCCTCCCTGGGGCCCAGGTGAAGGCTTTAAGGCGCCTATTTGCTGAGTCTGTTTTCCTGGAGCAGGATATCAGTGGTCTGGGATGGGCTTAGAGATGTGCCTCAAAAACTCAGTACCTTACTCCCATTTTGCAGGGTGCCTGACTTATTCTCATTTTGCAGGTGTGGATCAAATTCTGGGTGGCCGGGGAGGTTGGTTCTCTTCCCTTCCATAAGGGAAGCTGGGTGCCCAACTGAAACGGGGGCTTCTGCCTGCAGTGACAGGAAGAGAAGAGCAAGTCTTGGGCTGTGTCCTTGGGCAGAAAGAGCGAACACAGCTGCTGGCTGAGCTAGATTTCCCAGAGGTCTGCTCTTCAACAGACCAGCACCTGATTTTCAGCTGGGGAAACAGAAACGTGTCATGATCCCACTTGTGTAAGTCCTTCTAGATCACTTGCTCGGCGTGTGTCATCTGCTCGTGTGTTTTTACTGCCTGCATGTGGGCACAAGGGCCTTGCCGTCAACATTTCAGTTGAGACCCTGGCAGTTTCCAGCAACATGCTTGTATTTTGGGGCGTCCCTGTCCAGCCATATACAGCACATGAGGAAGAGGTGTCAGGTGAAATGTAAGATGGGACCAAATCTCAGGGATGAAGTAGGGCCAGTAGTCCCTGACCCAATAGGTCACCACCTCAAGCCAGCCACTACTTGAGACACACCTTGTTGGGGCCAGAAGGTGGTCTTTCTAAGTGTTGCCAAGAATATCCAAAGCAAGGTGGGTGTGAGGGGCTCTGGAAGGCTGCTAAGTGTCTGCTGGAGCTTGGAGGGGAGAGCAGTGAGGGCACCTGAACAGCCTGTGTGTTGCCCACCCCTTTTGGTCTTTCTGACCTAGAGGGCGCTCTCACTGGAATGTGGATACTTGCATGTGCAGTTTTACTAAAAAGTAATAAAAAGACGGGACCAAACTCACCTCAGTGCCTCCTTGCCCACTGGGGACTGTGGAATTGTGCCAATATGCCACTCTGTGAGCAGAAAGCCTGGACATGTATCGCCTGCTTTCAAGGCTTCTCTTCCAGATGTTTTGGGACAAGGACCAGGGTTAGAATGAGAATTGATAAAAATTAAAAAATTAAAAAAAAAAAATAAAAAAAAAAAAAAAAAGAAAAAATTAAAGTGTAATATAAAAAAAAGTGAGAAAATGTTCAAGCAGAGTCTACAGAAAAGGCAGCTTCTTATATGTAAGTGACATAGAAACTCTAAGAAGCTAATGCCATACACTGCAGGTGGGAATGGGAATTGCTCAGTGAAAACATAATCTGGTCAGGTCTAGACAAATTTAAGTTACATACAGGCTTTGTTCCAGAAATGCCACATGTATAAATCTATTTCATAGAAATAAAAGTAGAAGATTACACACTTGTATATACATAGATGTTTATTGTTTGCACTGGCAAGAATCCAGAAGCAACATGAAGGCCCATCATTAAAGAAATAATTAACTAAATAATTAAAGAATTAAAGAATTACCAATTAGGGTCCATCTCACACTACGAGCTGTTTTGCAGCAGTCTGAAAGGACGGGCTGTTGAACTGGAGAGAGGTTCATGATGCAGCATGAAGTTAGGGGGCAAACTGCAGAGGAACAAATGTGGTATGTGTAATTATAGTATTTTTAAAAGGAGTAATCAAACAAAAAACTCTCCCTTACTTATCTGAGCACAGCGAAAGTGTGGAGGCTACATATCAGGTGGGAAGGAGGGGGTTGGTTGGGGAAGGTAGACAGAGAGGCAAGAACAAAAAGAATCTTAGGAAAATGAAAAAAATCATAGAATAAAGTTAAGGAAAAATTTAGAATATGAAAGCTTACCTATATTATTATTGCAAATATGTACATTTGCATATGCAAATGGTAAGGACTAGAAGGTTATAGAACAAAATTAAAACACTGAGTTGCTGGGATTATGAAAAGTGTTTTATTTGCATTTCTATTTTAATTTCAGCATCAATTTTACAATAAACATATTTTAAAAAGTCAACATTTGGAAGGGACAAGAAAGCAGTGGTTGTTGAAATTATTCACATTTAAAATGACCGTATCAAGACTAACTCAGAAGCCCCTTGTGTGTCTTGTGCATAGTAGGCACTCAGCTACCCTTTGCTAATGTGAAAAATGAGACTCATAGAGACTTTTCTTGACCTCCTAATTCCTAAACATCATTAAAGATGTTCAAGCACATACAGTTTTAATTAAAAGCTCCAAAAATAGATTTTGCATTTGAATCACCACATATAAATTCCCTTCACGCCCCACTTAAATCTGGTTTCTGAAACTGTGAACAAAACGAGAGAAGACAGCAATTACAGAAAATGTACTACATCATGGCCTAAGTGTTTTCAGGTCAGAAATGAAGTCATTCTGCTTACACGGCTGTGTGTGGCCTTGTAATTAAAACAGGAGAGCAAGGACTTGGAATTTCAATGTCAGCCTGCGAGTACTTGTTCTTTCTTTTTTGCTTGCTGTTGTTATTATTTAAAAAATAAAAATAAAAACTGACATGCGAGAAATGGTCTCTGCCTGTTCTGTATGTCAGTGCTGCTCCCTGACCTGTAGGAATGTGGAAGCAATAGGTAAGCCCATGGCCGGCTGCAGGAGAACAAAGGCGTCGCGTGCCTCTGGGGTGCTGTTTCTGTGCAGGGTGGGGGCAAGGGGGTGGGGGTGGGGGTCTCCAACTGTACCTAGGGGAATACACCAGTTGTGCCACCCAGTTGGCCCACCCCCAATTCCCCAACCGGCTTCTATATTAAAACCTTCAAAGTGTAGCCTTGAGAAGAACACTGATAGCAGTGGAGGCTGAGGACAAGAGGTACCATTATCAGCATTCATGTTTTAAAATACTTTGGATAAATTGTCTGAGAATGCACATTTTTTTCACCCTTACAGACTCTTTTTAAAGAAGAATTGATAATATTCAGCAGCTATCATTTCCAAACATAGCTCAACATCTCCTGGGTCTTAGAGAGGAGCCCAGAGGGACTGGGGGTGGGATTAGGGGTGGGGGATATCTTGGAGCATTAGATTAATCATTTTTATTTAAAGGTTTCATATTTTGTAGTACATACATTTAACTGACATTAATAACATTTTGTAATATATGTATATATGTATTTAACTAATGATAAGTAGATAATAAATGTTATACCTACCCTTGCTTATGGTGTGAATGAATTCTTCACTGGGTTTTCCTAAAACAAGTTTCTTGTTAACCTTTTTGGAAGGGAATGATTCTCTTGTGGCGATCAGTGGTTCACAGAAATGGTGGCCCCTGCCAAAGCGGCAGCAGAAACCAGCTAGAGATTGTGTAGGGTACCTAGGTAAAGGGATATATTTAAAGATACTGTATGCATGAAAATAAAGATATGCACATAGGGTTAGGAGACGTTAGGAAGCAGGCATGTCCTTGAAAAATACTCTTTATTGTATGTTAGAGGAATTGAAGTCTCCATGTAACTAGGTACAGAATACATGGTTGTCAGCTCAGACCTTTTCATATTTCTAAAAGTGGAGTTGCTGCCATTTTGTCAGAAATATGTGTTTGGATTCGGGCCTTGCGAGCCATAAATGGCTCACAAGACAGCCCTGGGGTTGCCCAGAGTGGAACATCTGGGGTTGAATTCTGTCTCTGCCACCTTCTAGCCACTTCACCTCATCTCTACAATGGGAAGGACGCCTCTGTCTAGGAGCCGTGGGGAGCACTGTGAAGTGCTTGGCACAGTCCCTGGTGCGTTCTTTGATCTGCTCTCCAAATACTGATTGCATAATAATAACCATACGGTGTGCCTGGACGGTCCTGCGGGGGCTAAGGAAGCTGCGCTGAGCAAGCCGCCCTCTGGTGGAGCCCGAGGGGACGGATACACGCACATTTATCAAATACAAGCGAATACCCAAGGGACCCTGGGGAGTGCTCTTTGAAGCGCTGAAAAATCACTGCTCCTTGGTACCTTCAGAACATGTGTGGGTGTGGGGCTGGAGGAGAGGAGCTGGGGTCCCTCCGTGATTTGCTTCCCCTCTCATCTCTGTGACTGCCAGCCCCCTTGCAGGCCTATTTCACGATTGACCAAAAGAAAAGCAGCAGACAGAGCATAACGGGCTGGTCCATGGTGACCCGCAGCCCCGCTCCCCTCTCCAGCCAGTAATCGCAGCGCTTGACAGAGCAGAGCTCCCTGACCAGCTGCCACAGGACTCGCTGGTAAAGCTTGTCGTGTTTCTCTCGGGACAGCTCCTCCTGGTTGGCCGCCTGGGTGATATTGATGCAGTTGGTGATAAACTTCTCCTTGGTCACGTTGGCCTCAGAGCAGCCATGGTAGTGGATTCCATCAGGGAACTGCCAGTAGTTGGCCTCGTAGTACCTGTTGCCCTCGGCTCCGAAGTCGATGTCCAGCTTTCGGCCCTGCCTGATGAAGGTGCCAGGGTGGATTTCGGCCACACGGGCCTCGGTGACCTGTGAGGGACTCGGCAAGGCCTTCCGGTTCCACTTGATTCTGTGCTTTATGCCTCTCGCCTGGACTGTGCAGAGCTGGCAGAACAGCAGGACACAGACCACCGCCAGGCAGCTTCCGCCCAGATGCTTCCTCATTGTGTCAGAATCTGCAACAACAAAGGACGGGCTAGTTACCATCCCCAGTGGGGTTCCCTGTCTCGTCTCCCCGCTCTCCTCCCTGTGTGTAGGGATTTAAGCAAGGAATGTCATCCTTGCACCATTTACTTTGGTTTTTTTTCCATACGCATAATCATTTTCCCATGTTTAGGCTGCACAGGGTTAAGTCAATACTAAGTTTCCTACTTTTGCCTGGAATTACATCCACTCAGGGTGGTTATCCGGGTTTTCTCAGACAGATAAGAAGCTGCAACTGGCAATTATAAAGCCTTTGAATGTGCATGGGAAAATAATGGGTAATGACTTAACAGAGCGAGGTTTTCTTTGGTAATTCCAAGTGTTTAAGACCAAGGGGTCCCTTGGAGGAAAATACAGTAGAAGAGGTGGAATCAATGATTTCTGGGCATGGACTGTATTTTTAATCTTCCTTCTTTATTCTCTGTTGCTCTAAGCTGGCACTGCCTCTGGCACATTCTGCTGTCGATTCTAAGACAGTCACTGTCTGCTCATTTCAAAGGGCTTTATGGTAATAACAGAGAAAGGAAAAGGGGGAGAGAGATGGGAGTGTAGGTAGAAAACCCCTGCTCTCTATGTCAAGGGGTCAATGTGTACCACAGGTACCCCCAGTCCCACCCACGGAGACAGTGACCCACCTACCCCCCACTCTCCCTCCTCAACTAGCTTCTTACTGCACACTTACTACATGTCAACCTGGGCATCGCTTAACTTAATTCTCACATTGGGCAGGTATCTTGTTATTCCACTTTTATAAAAGTTGTACTGGGGCTCAGAGGACATAAGGAATTTGCCCAAGGTTGTGCAATAGTGGGCAGCAGATCTGCATCCAGTTCTGTCTGATGCTATTCCCACGTGCCCACTCACGGAGCCCCTTCTGGGCTGCAGGAGGGGAGGTGCTCAAGTTTTGCACTTTGACTCACTTGGCATGGAGGGCAGCCCTGATAGTGCCTAAGCTGACTGCAGAACAGGGCCTGTGAGGAATTTCAGAGGAAATGAGATGATGGGAGGAGAGGAAGGGTTGGAGGGTCCCCAGTCAGGTGGCCCCAGGACATCTAAAGGGCTGCTGGTGAGAGCAGGGAATGTCCCCTGGACCCAACCCCCAATCCGGTAATTTGTCACATCTGGCTCCTGCAACTACAATAGCTATTGTGGAAACCCACCTCTCAAGGTCAGCTGTTCGGGGTATTCCAGCACCTGGACCTTTGTGCATGTGGCTATTGATACAGGAGAGTCACTACAGAGAAGCACATTCAGGCTGTCTCCTAGATGAAGATTTACTGGGAGTCCATGAGTGCCAGGGCTGGGGGAGGTTGAAAGGGTAGCTGGCTGAGCCCCCAACACTCGCTCCCTGCAGCATTCCTAAAGGTGGTTAGTACACCTCTGTAAAAATGTTCAACTAAAGCATGACTGGTTCTTATGTAGAAAAAAAGGCAAAATGCCACCTAAGTGAGGTCTAGTCACTGGACGCTTGCAAAAAGGCTTCTGCTGACCATGCAGGCATTGCCTGGCCTTGGCCGCAGAGTGGGCACAGTGTGCCCAGCAGCCTGAGTGTCCAGGTTTCCAGCACCCCCCTGCCCTGACAGCCCCCTAATCATGGTGAGCTCAGACCAGCTTTCTCCAAAGAGATCCAAGCATGAAGCAAACACTCATGAATCTCCTGAACAGGGGGCCACACCCCGTGTCATCAGCCCACACTCCTTGGTAAGATAAATCTTGAATAAGAATAATAACATAAATTATAGGTGAGTCAAATAAAAAAAATAGAAGCATGGAGGTCCTGAGAAAGAAACTTGTCCTTATAGGCAAGGGTTTAAAAGCAAAAGAAAATCCCTACCAGCAAATCCGAAAACAGTATTGTACTATAGCACCAAAAAACATAGACATGCCACACCAGTGATGCCCCACTGTTCTCACAAGTGTCCCCTGACCTGGGACCCTTCCCAGAGGTGGGAGTAAAGAAACCACTGCAATCACATTAGAGATGAGCGACCCTAAACACAGAAACGGACCCCACGCATGAGCTCTGCCCGCCACGTACCTTGGGCTCTCTCTGGGACGGCACCGCTGGGACCACGGCCACGCTGTCCTGCAGCACATTGCTCAGCAGCCAGACCCACCAGCCTTGTAGGAGCTGCAGGGGGAGGTTGCATTCCTGCTGCTCTCCAAATATGGCAGCCCTTGTCTCCTGGCAGGACCAATCAGAGGTTCCCGGGAGTCCTTTGCCTTGAGAAGGATGGACCTTCTCATCACGTTTACTAATAAATATATGTGAAGACCTTGATGAAGCTGAGAAAGACTTAAGAGTTGCCCTTTCTTTTTCTTTCTTTGATATATTTAGGTATCTATAGATTTATTTGTTGACTTACTTATTTACTTAGTAGTACCATTTTATTATAAAGGGTTTTATAAAGGAAACAAACCAACAGCCATGTCAAGAGATACATAGGAAAGATCTGGAAGGGTTCCAAGTGCAAGAGTCCCCATGGAGCTTGGGAACACTCCCCACCCTGGATGTGGGTGGGTTCACCAACCCGGAGGCTCCCTGAACCCCTCTGTGCCCAGGACTGGGGACAGAAACTAAATATTGTAATAAAAGATGCTGCTGTCACCCCTATCACTCAGGAAGTCACAAGGTTTTAGAAGCTCTGTGTCAGGAACTGGGGAAGAAGATCAAATATATATTTCTTATTATGTCACAGAGTCACAGCTGGACGGACGGATGGATGCCTCTGTCCAGAGTCCCTTTAAGGCTATTTTTTAAGGCTGGTATTTTGACGTGTCTTTTAGAATTGAAAGAGAAATATTAAAAGGAAAATGCTTTCCAAACAATGCCCAGAACAGAGGGTGGTTTAAACAAGTCCTGCTGGACATGTCACTGTTGCATTGGAAGACCAGCATCAGACAGCAGAGGGTCCTTTGCTGGGCAGCTCTCAGATAGAAAACAAGATATCAGCTGGACTGTGTGCCCCATGGCTGGGGCCCACACGAGTGAGGGGCCAGGCCTCCATCGGGTAGGTGGAACAGCAAGGCTAATGTTGGGTGAAGGACAGTGAGAAGATCTGCCAGCCCTATGGGCTGCCGGGACCATATGGGAATGCTTGAACCACTGACTTAGTCCAAAGGCCAATGAGGTGCAGATCTGTGGAAACCCAGGGGACAGAGACAGAGGGAGATGAAATCAGCACTGTTCAAAGAAGGTGCAGGCTGAGAGCAAGGCTCCTCAGAGGGCTTCCCTCTGCACGTGATGTCCATGTGATGCCAGGGGGGGCTCTGGAGAGTCTGCTATTCCTGGCATGAGGGGTGCACACAGTTCACGGGTGACCATTCCTTACACAACACAGAGGGACTTACTCAGGTGCCCCTTTGCAGTCATTACTGCAATGCAAAATCAAAAGAGGAATTCTGGAGGTGAGTATGGGGCATGAGTTGCCTGTAAATAGAATGGGATCTTTATCCTGAACGAGATCTCCTAAGAGTTCTCCAGATTCACTTTGAAGTCCTTTTTCAAACCAAATTAAGTGCTTTCCTCAGGGATGACCAGCAGATGGCACCAGAAGAGTTTGCAGAGACTGCACCGTGGAGGTGGGAAACCCCTGGGCCAAGGCTGCTCCTGCAGAGCTTCTATGTTCCCGTTGGATTTGGGGCCTTCAACCAGCCCTTTCTTCCTCCTCTGGTTTTACTTTAAAAATCAATTTGATTTTTCTTTTAAAAGAAAACTTTTCCATTTTCTTTCTAGAACCATAGACTTATTGGTCTTGTGAATACACACAAACTCATTAGTGGTCAAACTTCATATCAACTATTAGCAAAATGCAGAAGAGAAAAGATCTCTGAATATTTCACTACCCAGAGGCAGCGCCAGTACAATTTTGTTTAATGTATGGATGCCGAGGGTCATAACTAGGGTTTGGGATGTTTGTTTAGAGCTGGAAAGGACTCGGAATCCTCCAGTCCAGCTCCTTCACACTGTGAGGTCACAGGGCCCAGATAAGTCCAAGGTCACCCAGCCAGGCAGGCAGTGCTGCCCTGCGGGCCAACTGCTCGGTTCTGACCTCTGCTTACTGTCCACCCTGCCTGTCCCCAGCTGGGGCAGGTGCTTCTAGGTCCCCTCCATCCCTCTTATGTTCTGAGGAGGGCTTTGCCCAGACAACACTGGGAGGTTGGTTTAGAGCTGATGAGGCTGCAGATTCCTCTTGTGAGTGTACAAAGAGGCACAGGGGATGGGGAAGACTGTTAAAGTGTTCGAGAAGATGCGAGTTCTGCAAGTTGTAAAGAGGCAAGAAGGAGCAGAGAGAGAGCTGAGCTGCTCCAAGGCTGCCAGGCACCCGGCTCTGGGCCTGGAGAGATGAACAGCCAAGCAATTAGTGAGAGAACATTCGTTTCTTTAAATGAACTAAGAGGCCAGGGCCCAGTGACTTGTGTCTTCTGGCATTGACAATTATATTGGGGATACAATTAAATGTAGGTCATGTTTGAGAAAACAGGGAGAATGCTTCATGATGCAAGGACCAGGACAGATTTCTTTCAAATGTATGAACAATGGAAAAGCATATGGTTTAGAGAAAAAAAGTAATAAGGAAAGGCTGAGTTTAGAATGCATGAGTGGATCATTATTCAATCAATTCCTAGTTTGACTAGGTCTTGGACCTTTGGAGAGCATTTATAAATAAATACAGTCATCATTAAGATACATGATGCCATGGCAAACTGTATCCAGGAAGGTTAGTGTGTGGAAAGATTGTTTGCCACATCTTGACTTCTTAAAGATTTATCTAATGTCTATTATGTTCTTGGACCATGTTATGCTAAGAAAGGAGAACATGGAGATAGAAGAGGCAGTGAAAGGAGCTCATAGCCTAATGGTAGAGAAATAGGAATATGTTGTGGAAAATTAATACTTATTTAGATAGTTGTGTAGCTGCCTAAACAGACATACTCAATTTTTTCTTGTCATTGATGTCTACTGCAGTCACAGGAAGCTGAACATATCCTGCGTATACAACATTATGTATTTTTACACACTGAATACATTAATGTAAACTGCACCCAGAAGCTGAGCAGGACAGTACCCCCAAAACCTCCTTGTCTCCCCATTGGGTCGTGGCCCTGTCCCCTATACTGACGACCACTGTCCTGACTCCTTACACCATAGATTAGTTTTGTCCGTTTTTGTACTTCGTATGTATAGAATTATATAGAACACAGTCTTTGTGTCTATTTTGCTCTCAAATTGCATCTTCTGAGATTCACCCACATTGTGGGTAGTACTAGATTGTTCATTCCTTCGTAGGACTAGTCCACAATTTAGTTCTCCACTCTCCTGTAGGTGGGCATTGGGGTGATTCCAGCTTGGGATTTTACAAATAGTACTGCTGGGAACATTCTTGCATGTGCCTTTTGGTGGACATATGATCACTTTCCTGTTGGATGCACACTATGAGGGGGTAGACTTGCCGGGTCATAGAATACACCTGTGTTCAGCTTTTACAGTCCTAGAATTTTAATTATTGCCTTATGCACATCTTAAAAACCAGCCCCCTGTATATTTCACCCACTCTTCTCTTCCCAAGCACAGTCAGAGGTCTTCCTGGGGGTGTCCCATAGCACTTGGTATGTAGCTGAAGGATCATGCGGGACATCCCATTGCTGTTCACACCTTCTCTTGAGATCACAGATATTGAAGGACTGTTTTATTTCACCTGTTTGCCACACACTTAGCACAGTGCCTAGAATCTGGATGCAAATAAGAGTCCCTTTATTCCTTCTTTATCAGCCACATGGATGAGGACAGGCTGTCAGAGCTGCACATGGATCAAAGCTGCCAAGGTGGGCTGTGGGCCAGGGGGCAGGCTCAACATGACAAACTGCAGCAGGTAGGGATATGTAAAGGCAGCAAGAGGAAATTTAATGGGGATAAATGCAATAGTTTTGCACTTTTAAAGAAAGAGAGCTTGGCCGCATGGTGAAGACCTGTCATGGCGCTAGTTTTCTACTGGCATACAGTTGTCCAGACATGTAATAGGACACGTAGGGCCATCACTGTTGGAGAAGCAAATGCACTAATCAAAGAGTCATTTCCTCTGCAGTTCCCGCCCTTCCCTGTTCAGAATGCTGCTGGTGCTTGGAGCTGGGATGTGGGGAATTGATTCAGCGCAGGAGGAGGGGGTAGTAGGTGGGGTTGGGTAGGAGGCAGGTGATGAATCTCCTCATGGCGTATCAAGGACCACTGAAGACAGTTGCTCATCTTGAACATCACCAAATGTTTGTGGAACAGAACGTTTGTAAATGAGAAGATAGAGAGCTGCTGAAGATTTAAAGCAGGGGTAGCAGGAGGACTGTTGTATTTGAGGTCAATCCAGAAAGAAGTGGACTGGGAAGGGGCAGAAACCCAACCTGGAGGTCCTAAGAAGGGCAGGGAAGGCCAGGCTCGGCCATCGTTTTAAAGTTCCTCATTCAGTCACACCTCCTCTCCCCCTTTCTCATTTGTCTCTGATGTTTTTTAAAAGCATAATTAACCTGATAATGTGACCTACAGTTTGTCTTCTCTGTCTATTATGCAGGAAAATGTCCAAAAGGAGAAAGGCCTCCTGTAGGGTGAGGTTACCTGGAAAAGGTGAAAACAGCCAGACATCGTGTCAGAGCCATCACACCTTTGTTACCACAGTGGCTTCAAGGGGATGCTGCTAAACTCAGGGGCAAAAACTGGAGACCCAGGCTCTAATCCCCACCCTGCCAGTCTCTGCCTCCAGTGACTTCAGTTGTCCTCCATTAGGGAAAGTTGAGCCTTCTCTATCATGTAAATTATCCTCTGTCTCAGGCAATACATGCTGTGTTTACTGGACAGCTTGCAGGAGGCAGAAATTCAGCTGAGAATGTGTTTTTACATCTGTGCAAGAGGTACATGTCTCCCCACCCACACACACACTGTCAGAGCTTATCAGACGTTGCTTGGCACCTGTTGGAGTCACACAATTCAATAGAAATCCTTCTCTAGAAATAATATAAAGGGCAAAGAGCTAAGGTTTCAAAGATGCTTTGAATGCACAGGAATGTGTTCACATGTTCATTATTGGCTTGCCAGAAATACTAATGAAGGGTTTACCGTTGCTCAGGCAACTAGCA